CCCCAAAACCCCAAAACCCCAAAACCCCTTATTATTGCTTAAGTTGATGAGAAAAGGTAATTCTAAATAGGAAAATTATTATTTACATACAAAACATAAATAATGGGAAATATAGCTGTATCGGAGTAAAATGAAGAGGAAAAGATAAACATAGAAATTGGAAATCCACCATGCTAGTATTTTTCTCTGCTCTTCAACTGTACTCTAAATAATTATAGTTTAATTCACAATAGTTGACATGAAGAGTATCAGAGCATTATATGAAAAGCACAGACAATTAAAACTATCGATTTTCCTTGATATCAATGACTTTCAGAGGTTATTTTCCAAAATGAGCAAGAGTACATCAGACTACATATTCAGGAAACTGGTATCATTTGAATAGTTTTTGAAAGACTCGAAAGACCAAGACACTACAACTGCACTTAATTAGGATGAAGATCAAAACAAGGTCTAGAAGTTTCAGGACACTCAGAGCAAAGACCTCAAGAAGAAACTTTGCTTTTATGAGTTGTTAGCTGGAATGATAATGATGTCTTACTCTGAGGAGCACAACAAGGTCAGAATGCTATATGTTCTGTTTGACTTCGACAACTATCAGTTTTTAGACAAGGATGAATTCGTCTTACTTATAATGCTTACTCTTGAGGCTTGGGGCAGATTTACCTAAACTTAATACACATCTAGACATGATCTGGAGAGAGTAGGTAAAACTATTTTCTCAACAAGAGATGGAAGAATAAGCATAATTGAGGTAGCTGAGTGGCTAGATCTCAATAAACCCTTTTAGTAATTAATGAAAAGCATGAATCCAACAGTGTAAGTGCATGAGAGAACTGGTACATACTTACCTCTCAATAAGCCAAAAGAACATTTGATAGCCTTATCAGAAATATATTTAAACAAGAGGATAACTCACAGTATGAATAACTATGAAAACCTACCAAGCATCTAAAACCAATCAAAAGTACCTCTCAAGAAAGATTTCGACTTCCAAAAGTAGATATCTAGACTTGGGGATAGCAATTATTTGCTGGAAAGGAGTATAATCAACAATACTAATAATGGAAATGCATTGAAGCTTAAGAGCATGGGAAAGTCAGAATCTCTTCCTTTTCTAAAAATTCCTAATTAAAAGGAACAGTAGCCTGTAAATCTATTTCAGAAAAAAAAATCAAGACCACCTTCAATATAAAGAATTATCAAGGATCCTAGCCCCATTAAAAATATTCAGATTACAGATGAGGATGATGCCGAATTCTTTAAGCTGACGAATATAGATTTCCTTGAGCCCCCACAAACTTTTAGAGATAGACTAATTTAAAACAATCAACTAAATCTGGATATTCCTACTGAAAAAACAAAGAGAGTTAAATTTGGAGGCTAAAAAAATGATTTTGGTTCATTTGTTTCACAATCCTAGAACTCTCCCAGATTGAGGTTTACTCACTCCACTTTCAAAAATATTTTAACTATTGTAAGATTTTAATATTATGTGACTAAATACAAATTATAGAAAGGTAAAACTTACTCAAAGTAGGACATCCTGACTTTTAGAAAATATTTTGAGAAAGTGAATGTTTCTCAAACTGGCTACTTCTCACAACAAGAGTACTAATAAAGCATCTAGGACTCAGAATTGATGAAGCGTCTTGCACTTTCTCTTTATACCTTTTTAGATAAAGATGGCGATAATAAAGTGTCCTTTGAACAGTTGCTGTATAGAACCATACCCGGAATGACTAATGTTCACTACAAGATCTTTTAAAAATGGATCAACGATGAGATTATAAAGGAATAGAAGTGTATGGTTAACTACAAGGACCAGAATTCTTAGAGATATGATACTAATCATGCCAAGGAGTTGAACTTCACCTAGATTAAAGACTTCTTGTATATATTCACTCAGCTCGATAAAAATAATGACGGCATGCTGAGCCTTGATGAGGTAAAGGGAGCATTTAGTGGAGCATTCACTCCATAGTAGATGGAATAGTACTTCCAAGAATATGATAAAAACAATAGTAGATTGCTCAACATAGAAGAGTTCCTTGGGATGATGTCTCCTAGAGATCATGTCATAACAAGAAATCTAATGGAGAATCAAGTGGCCTCATATGTCAAGAAAAGAACTATGGGAAAGGTTAATGTGGTCAAGAATTTGATTAACAAAAGATAAAGCGCTTAATTATGATAATTTATCATTAAGAGAATATTGACAGTTATAAAAGTTGAAATTTAAATTATAAAAAAATATCAATTTTTATTTCATTACTTCGCTTATATTAAAATTGTCATTAATGGGGTTTTGGGGTTTTGGGGTTTTGGGG